AGCAGAAATAAGGCTTTCTTGTCATTTTTGAAAAGGAAACAGCTGTTGTCAGCGCTTGTACACAATAGTGTGAAATAAGCAAATGAATGGGGGAGAGAGAGAGCTGTGCTGGAAGTGTGATTTTATCTTGCAAAGGTAAGAGTGAATTAATGAGGATGTTATCAAACGGGAACAGCAGTTTGGAGCTCCTTTTGCTGCTGGCTCAGTGAATTTTGGTTGGAGAGTAAAAAAAACCTGCAGCTCAAAATCTGTGAGCTGTTTCAGCCCCGACAGCGTCTCCATGTTCATGCTGTCGGGAGAGAAAGCCAACAACTCACAGATCCTGATCCGTCGGGTCCGCTCTCTTTGTTTATGTCGTTGTGTAGAATCTGTTTACCTGCTCTCATTTGCTGTTTTACCTGTTTGGTGGTTGTTGAAATAGTTTTGTGAGTTTCTGGCAGAATAATTGATATTTAAAAATTGATTCAGGATTTAATGAATAAATATCACCTTATTCAAGCTGAAATCCATTTTAATTAGAAAGTTATTGAAACCCAGCAATACTACTCGCCTCTGTCTATCTGCCTGCACTTTCAAACGTACACACACGTAGGGAGACAGAAATATCTGGAACACGGCCAATCAAAGAGGCCCCGCCCCTGACTATCTGTGATTGGTTTAGACCACGATATGGACATAATGTGTATCTGTTGTTGACCACACAGAGACTTTCAGAGTTGCGGAGACTTTTTTTTTTGGACTGAATGGCTGGTCGCACCGAGACCTCCACATATGCGCATATGTGACCAAATTGGTCTTTAGATCCCTGCTTGATTGACTAACAGGTTTCCTCCTGTTAAGATAACATATATCCTTCAAACTGTGGACAAGGTTGTTGCAAAAAGGACGTGACATGATAGTTTTCATTCTAAGGTCATAGGATCTTTATGTCTAAGTGACTGTTGTTGTGATTTAAGGCTATAAAAACAAAACAAAACTGAATAATGTTGAATTTTCTGCCTTTATCAGCTGCGTGTCGGCCTCCACCTGCACTGTGACCGGCCCCACTATCATTGACGTCCACGGCCAGATTAACTCCATCCAGGATCGGTGTGCGTACTCTCTGTTCTCGACTCCGTCACTCCCAGACTTCCATGTTCTGGGGAACTTCAGGGACCGGCGTCGTAAAGATGTGAGCTTTTTGGACAGTGTGACGCTGCGTGTGGACGGGCATGACATTCACCTGGAACAAGGTGGGAGAGTTCAGGTAAGCGACCTACAGCCACAGTTCATGTGTCAGAGTGGAGTCTGATCCAAAGTCCTCCCTCATC